GATCCAGTGACCGGCTCTCGGACAGTACTCGACAAGCAAACAAGTATATAAAAGTAATGTAGCTAAATCAGTACCAACGCTACAGTACCGTGAATTACTGTCAAAGAGAACGCTAACGTTATTCTCATACCATCGCTTAAATTGAGTAGGAGAAAGGACTTGCAACATCACTCTGGGAGTGGTGGGCTTAACCGGCGCAATCAGCAGAAGTCCTAGGGACTATCTGATATTAGCACTGCATATTAGGAGGAGCAGGCTCGAGAATTCAGTGAAAGAAGCATGTGAAGGCTCTCAATCGAGTCACATACCTGTTCAAGTATCAGCGTACTGAGATGCGCCATATTTTTGGCTCGCGATCGAATTGTTGTGCCACTTTTGTACTTCCGTTCCGACTGTGCTGGTTCTCCAGTGCCGATGGAGACCACACCAGCCAACTTGACTTTATTGTTGTGCCTCGAAAACGAGTCAACTTCCTGAAAAATCACTCCGAATGTTCTTCATTGCTAGGACCATTATAATCGGGATATGTTGGGAACCCACCTTGAAAAGAATGTTGAGCGGGTAGTTGGCCACAAAAGACCCGTCGACAAACTTCTTGCCCTGGTAGGAAAACGGTTCGAAGTAGGTCGGTGCCGCACTGAAATGAGCAATGCGCAAATTCCCTTTCAAAAAAATCTTCTACAAAACTTTGACGCTTAAATAGCTGATATAGTGCACACTGTGAAATGGGTATTGATTTTGCGCGCGTATGATGGTCTTTGTTATTATGAAGACGCTCAGAGTCGGTAAGAAGAATATCGGCAGTTCACCAGTGGCACCTAGCACTCTACGTACCTTTTTTCCACACTGCTGTTTTCGCCAATGATGATTAGCTATTCATCATTTTGTAAAGTGAACCACCGTACCTGCTTGCTCGGGCGGCGTCCTTGAACATGATGTCCTGTTCCTCATCGAGGGGAGCGCCGAAAGGGCGGGTGAAGGAGTAGTTCCTGACGAAGTATTTTATGAGATCAAAGCAGCCTTCACTAGGAACTCTCAACAATTGAGCTCTCAAAAACACTATGCATCAATGAAATGTTCACGATGGTCCTAAAAACTGCCCACATTCTCATCAGATGCAGTTTCTTTAGGTTCCATTTGATGGAAGCTTTTTCTTTTGAAAGAAAAAAAACCGATGACCCACCTAAAGATATGCAGCTTCGCAGGAGCCATCGAAATATCAAGGGCAGGAACGGTCAGTCGTCGATCGCATTTTTGGAACGATTGCGTTTTGAAACAGTCTGCCAACACCTTTTCAATGTTCCTCGTTTGCGTTGTGACCTAGACAAGCCCTCACAGGATCTCTTCAAAAAATATTGTAAAGAACTAGCTTGTGGGTGGGATCTCTAACACCACCGCATCCTCCAGTTGGTAGCATGACTGACGTGGGTGAGGTTTTTTCGGAATATTCGATGGGAATAACCTCAACTCGTAATTGGGACTTGTTTATTCGCATTCGCCTATTGAAAAGTGTCCTCTCCTTTTACATATGCTCCCTGGGCCACCCTTTTGAAGCAAGCACTCACTCCTTGGTTTCTTCGGAGCCTTTGCGCCTTTAACTTACCCTTGAAACCATTTAGAATTATGCCCTTTGATAGTTCCCTTATTCTTTTAGTCTTATCTAGTCATATGCCAATGATGCGCCCCCTTGTTTGCTAGCTTCAAACATCGCGGGTGACATTCAGGGAGATTAAGAGGAAAAACAGACTTTTATGCATAGCCTTCAAATGTTAGAGAGTAAAGGAATATCTAAAAAATTGGAAAATAGCTGCTATGCTCACCTGATCGCCGAGCAATCGTGACATAGTCGAACCTTCTAGAAATATCTGGCGTTTCATGTTCCAATAAAGGAAAAAGCACTCGGTGAGTGTCCAGCCATTAGCCGTTGACAAGGCTAGCATCGATCCAGTACTGTAAGATCACAGATAAACTTTGNGATTTTCCGGAGTCGAAGCAGGTTACCGACAAACATCGCCGATGACATACTGAACGTTTTATCTGACCTTGTGCCTACAAGCCAATCGAAGTAATTGACCAGTGTTTCGTCGCCCAGTAACCGCTTCGAAGCGAAAAGTAGACAAACGACGGATACAAGACCACGCATCCCGCCACCGTCCATACACATCGGTAGTAGACCGCTTGCACATTTGCGGCCTCGTACAATATTGATTGGTGTCTAGGATATTGATTGATATTGATCGAGTAATGCAACAAGGGCAATTGAACAATCGTACCTGTTCACACATCTCTTCATAGATTGTTCCAGCAAACTCCAAGAAATCATGGAACTTCACCACACACTTATCGCATACTGTTCCGCTATCGACACGATCCATTAATGTCTTCTGACCGTAATCGTCCTTATAGAGGCATTCGGGATTGGCGCCTGAAGTGATCCCCTATTTTCACCGTTTCTCAGCAGTCGACCAATCATAGCTCGGCCATTGGGCGTCAACCAATCATAGCCCAGTGGTTGTCTCTCGAAGGTATCGACCAATCATAGCGCTTCTTCGCACCAACGAATGGTTATTAGATGCTCTTCTGATTCGGGAATGAACGTGCAGGGTTAGGAACCCCTTACGCGTGCCCAGCGCCGGATATCGCAATTTGGTTGTTTTTTTTCTTTATTATAATGTAAGTTTTTGGATGCTGATTAGAAAGGGATCCCAGAGGGAAGGCTAAATGAAGAGTCACGTCTAGGCCAACTAAGATCTGATACTGGCCGTGTGTCTTCTTCGCAACTATTTAGTCAGGGTTACTGGGAGTAGAAGACTACATAGTTACTATGTAAGTTCATGATAAGTGATAAAGGCCAGACTAAAGTCTTCTGTTTAGTTTTTGGCATTGAGTTTCCCTGTAGCACAATGATGCTGGAGTAGAAGCCCATTACACCTTTACTTTACCAAAATCAAAGAATGGGAAGGGATCTCACCTAGAGTCAACAGTAACCGCGCCTCAGTAATTGTCGCTTGTGGAGCTGCCCAGATATCATGCAATTTGGCCGACATCTGAAACAATATTCGTGAAAAATACTGATTTTATTAATAAAAGTACGAAAATTTCAAAAGAATAAGTATAATATCGTGGCAAGGGCGTCGTTTCGTTCCTTATACCCCTTCGTTTAGTGTTACGCAGCTCTTTCAATCCCAGAGTTAATAGCCTCTATCGTGATTGTTAAGGAGTAGATGAGTAGATAAATCCTACTTGATTTCCAACATGGTTTTTTGTTTCCAATGATTGACTACGTTGATCAGACGCGCTTCAGAATGCGGCCACCATCTAGGGTTGAAGCTAAATGCATGGCGTGTGCCAACAGATTCTGATGCGGAAATTCTCCATAAATTATGTTCCACGAAAGCGTCCGTTATCTAGGATTTCCGACTTGCGTACAGAGGGTGCCTATTAGAGCCCTAATACGCCCTCGTAATCAGGCTTAGGCAGCCTCGAAAAGATAAGAGCGCTGAGTGACAGAAGACGGGAAGACCGATAAACATACCCTGATTTCTGTCTGCTCAGCTCCCACGTTATCTTCCGTCAACTGTCATATTTGTTAATATAAGGAAGCTATTTCAAGAAAAATATGGGATCAAATAGCTACTAGTAGGACCATGTGAACAAGTAGTGGCAGTGAAGCATGGATTCTGTACTTTTAAGCCTTACGATGATTATCAGTCGTTTAGAAAGTATAGAAGAGGTTAAATGTAAATGGTCAATCCACTTGAACAATCATTATCAATCGTCTTTTCATTCGACAAGTGGATCCCAGACGGTAGCGCCCAAAGGTTTTGAGCCTACCGTATCACACTTTTACCCTTTATATGGTTGGCTTGCTCAAGTGAAGCCTTCTGTGCTCACAGTATGTCAAGGCCTTACCGCTGATTGGTGCCTGTTCGGGTCCTACTGATCTTTCTTGAGGGATCCTAATGAAGTTTGGATTGTCCTGAAATATCCTAGGAGTTTTAGGGGTGGCTGGGTGATTTCATCCCCTTGACAACTTCTTGTCTTCCAACAGACTCAGGAACGATGGCATGCGAAAAAGATTTCCACATGGGTGAGTGACACCCAGATCAAGTGTGTGGGAGAGAAACACGCTACTTCCACCATCGTGCTTGAGATTATTGAACAAGTGGGTGCTCTGGGCCCGAACAGTTTCTTGGCTTAATAATCTAGGGCCGGTGAATTTTTGGTGAAGTCATTTATGCTATTTTCTAATGTCGGAAGCAGCAGTCAAAAGCTTTTTCTTTGCGCAGTGGACACAATCTGATGCAGGCTGATCAAGCCTCTCATCCCTTTTGGACTAGTAGAGTGGCAAAATCATGCTTGGGGAGCCAGTAGCACTGACTCAACCATGGACCAACCTTTGCAAAATATGATAGTTGTTTTCACCTTCAAATTACTTTAGGGCTTAAGTAGAATGTCCTTTGTCAACGAAATATTTTCTTTCTTCGAAAAACATAATTTGGACCAACCTGTTGTGCACTGGCGCTTTTTAGGAACGTTATCAAAGTATCGACCCGTTCAATTTTTTTGTTAGCGCTCATTTTGTGAGCGCACGACATGCGAGGCATGGTCGCCTATAAATAAACATAATTAGAATTGAGTGTTGGACGAAATAGAAAAGTAATGTAGAAGACGGAAGCGATTCAGGNATTAAGGAGATGCATAGGTGAAAAGCAGCGAAAAATACCCTTGGTGCGTAAGAAGATCGTTCCAATTGTATAAGAGAAAGTTCACAAAATAAGCAGTGTTCCATAGATGACAATAAAATCACCGATCTGAGTGTAACATTGTCCTTCTAGACTCAAGAAGACTAAAAATACAACGTATGAGGTCCAAACAGTAGTTTCCGTGACTTTAAAGCTTCATTTCGAATGCACACATCTCGAATTACGGTTGGGACGGAAGAGTGCAGTTTATTTATCGGAAATATATTGATTTGCAATATGGGTAGAGAAGGTCGAAATTTAGAAGATGATATTCTCCTAGGCTGTTTCCTCACCATCTTGGGATTTAAACTATCGCCTTCAGAGGGACTTATCAAATTCAGCTTAAGAACTGTTGGATGGCAGGGAAGTGATCGAAAGAGTTCGAAGTAATTTATGCTCCTCTAGTCAGCTCGAGCAATCGTCATTCTGATATGGTTACACGATTGTAGTCGAGATGAGCCACCTCGAGTATGAGAGGGCACCATTGATCCGCCTATAACCCGTAAGATTCTGTCATTTGTTTCGTCACTCAGGGCGTCGTCTTTTCATTCTTATGGGTTACTACGTACACATTTTTTTTGAAAAACTCGATAACTTAGTTGCGATGCGGTACCGCGATTATGCTTTCTGGTTTATGCCCGTTTCCTAACTCGGAATTCCTTCGGTGCCAGGATCTCAATTCTAATCGATAAAAAATCCGCCGAAGATGAGCCCTAGAGCTCTTGAAGTACTCAATTATAGTGAAAGGAAGAATTAAATGGATTATTGTTGATCGACCCATCCCGAGACCTGCTCAGTTCTCCGCATCTCATCCAGACCATAACAGTGTTCGAAGGAGAGATCCTGCCGATATAGGTGGGCTGGGCCGATATGGGTGGGATATCCTCCTTTACTATTCGACTACCATTTCACGCACACCCACGGAACAGAGGTTGCCTGACCCCTCACGGCACCTATATAAAGTAAAATCGGAGAACGTCCGTTGTGCGCGTCCGTCGAGTAGGTCACCCGCTCACTTTGCGCGAGGAGCACCCCACTGAGGCCTCGATATGACATACCACCGAGCGTCAATGGAGCGAATAATTTGCATTTGTCCGTGTTATCTTCTCTCTAGCTAGCTGCAGTGGACCCTGCGTAAATCGTTGCCTCACTGGCAACTGCGACATCTATCAAGCATCGCGAGCAATGCGACGGCTGCGGCGTGGCCTAATGTCAGCGGACGCGTGCAGCGAAGCGCACCTAGTAAAATGATTTGGTAAAATATAATGTAAAATGGTAAAATGGTTAAAATGGATGAAAAATGGCCACTTTTATCAAACCCATTACACTGACTTAATATACAAGTTCTGTTCATGAGGAAATTCCCACGTCAATCAAACAGAAGCAGTTTTACATTCTTAGATAATTCAATAACAACCAAGCGACCAGAGCAATATTGGTGTTCACACATCGGACAAGATGGAAATCACTTGGAGAAAAGGTAGTTTGAGTATAGGTGGTGGTCGACTAGTTTCAATACCAGCCATTCAAACTTTATTTCGGTCAGTCGCCCAGTATGAATGAGGTCCAGCGGTCTCTTGCCACTCGTAATGCTCGAGTAGCTTTCAATCGATTCTGCTAGCATCATTGGGTATCATGTAAGTGCAAATGGTACATCAAGGCTTTCGTACAATCGTTGAATTCAGAGTGGGACAGAAAAGAGGGAAACTTCTATTTTTAGGTGAAGTTCTTGAGGATAACACTAACCAATAAATGAGAAGAATAGTGCGACGGGGCGGAAAATCTCGAAAGAGAGGGAGTGCGGAGCGGAAGAGTATGAAAATTATAGGAGCGCTGAAGTGAACTTACTTGAAGTATGAAACAGATGTAGATTGTCTGGTAACACCCTCCCTCAAGTATGACTCGAACTCCTTTAACTTCTCACGTTTCGCCCCCTTTCTATCTGACCTTACACGACAATAGCTTACCACTGAACAACAATAGTCTTTCAACGGAAGTGTGCCGACTCATAGCCATGACATCTCTTTTTGTTCTCCCCGTTTGATTTCCAGCCTCAATAAATTTCGCACTTGCAGTTATTTCCAGTAAAGTCGCCATTGATTTTTCTGGACATAAAGTACGTTATATAAATTCTTCCTCCTTTAATTCTTCGTCTTTAACGTCCACTTATTCGTAGTGCGCGTATATGGCCTAGACTTAGGCCTATGGGGCCAGATGATGCACAAGTCAGGGCCAGATGATGCACAAGTCACTGCTTCCATCCTCCTGGACTGATCTCCAAGAGGATGGAATCCGGAGGGATTGAAGGGTTGGATGGCCTAAACGAATAACGATCCGGTATTCGAACCCGTGACCATGCGTGTATGGTAGTGCGCCACTTGCCACTACACTATATCCGCTCTTTTCTAGCTAGCTCAAGCTAATGTTTTAAGTCGTCTATCTCAATTTCTCGATGGATCGACGGGAAACTAGTGATTCGTTTAAAAAAAAACAGAATTGTCCATAATGAAAGCAGAAGTACGGAATGCCCTCGAAAAAAAGAATTTTAGCATAGATAAAAAAAAACCTCAATGAGCCAATTGAATGTAGGGAAACAAGAAAATTAGATTAAGACAATTAATCTGATATCATGTACTTTTGTGAATAGCAAGCGAAAAATTACAGAACTTTCTAGTAATCATTCGCATGAACAGCTGATAAAGTCACCATAGATATAATTGTTTTTCTCGGCATGACAACGGCATCGTTTTATGCAAAGCGAAAAATGACAGGCGGCTTCGAAGTCAATACTGATAAGATTCTGATTTTCATGCAATTGTGTTTTGGTATTCGAAATTTACGTTCCAACAAAGAAAGAGATAGAGAGGAGTAGCCTGCCAGGCAATTAAGAAGCGATATGAATCGTGTAAATAGTTTCTGCTGCTAAGAAGCACATCGAGTACGGAGTTAGCCAGCTCAGCTGAGTTATACTAATTCCTGCTCATTCTCTCTCTGTAACTATAGCCCTCTTCTTTCCCTATTAGAGATCTTAGGCCCCTTTAGCTTCTTTTAAGGTATTATGTCAGGTTCCTACAACGGTCGGGTAAGATTTTCGAAGTTAAGCGTGTCCCATCATTTGTTATTGAACTGGTCTTTGAAATGCCCAACCCTGCTCTCTATGTTCTTTACGCATTCGCTTCAGTAGTAGGAAGTAGAGGGACATGAGGGCTATCCCAATACTGTAGATGCTACCCTGACAGGTCTGCAATTCGAATTATTTTTGAAAAAAAAATGCGAAAAGTTGTTTTGGAAGAAGGTCAAAACTAGTGCTTTTCTGAAAAAAATAAGAAATTCTCTTTTTTTCATTAGAGTGGTCCACTGCTGCTCTTCTAGTATCTTCTAAATTCCTAGCAATAATCGGGACGTACCCTTCAAAAAACTGCGGGTCATTGGTTCGGCATTCTCTAGTTGTAATCAGGAAATAACGCGGGTTCAGTCATTTGAGCTGCACCCCACCCTTTTTGAGGTGAATTGCGGGTTAAAATCCCAATATAAACATTTCAAAGAAACGGCCAAAGATTCAGACGGCTGCCATTAAATAGTCTGAACTGCATCTGGGCAGTGTGTCTAGGATGGTGTTCGCCAGTGACCAAGATAAGGTGGGAGCGTAGGGCATCATCGACATGACCCTAAAATTCTGCAGCGATAACCGAAACGACACCCGCAACTGCCTGACACCTGCGATTACGGCGAAGCATCGTTAAGCATCGTTTTTCAAAGTCGAAAAATCAAATTTTATGTCTTTTCTAATGAATGCTGCGTTTATGCTTTCGTAGACGAGTGGTGAAGACTATAAAACAACAAAAATTCGAAAAAATCGTCTAGCACGTCTATTTTTTTCGCCGAGTCTCTCAGATAGGACGGACAGTGCCACTACAGCTATGATTGTTTGGACTTTTGACCGCTGTCACCAACGGGAAGTCCTGCTGAAAGCCAACAAGCATAGCTCAGTTTGTTAGAGACGCAGAGTTGTCTCTGGTTGTCTGAATCCCACTTCGAATACAGACATGACTACTCTATGTAACGAACCGAAATGATCCCATACAAATGATAACCCCTCGAGAGAATAGCTCGAACTAGAAATAATTAGTGTCCGGTATGCGCCCTGCTCTCATTTTTTTCACAGTTGTGGAAACGTTTGGATAATTGTAGGTATCGGACAGAGCTTTGTGGATCTCCAATCCCATGATCCTAACAAACTCTCAAGTCCCAGAATCTATCAAACTGACGGTTTATTTCACCGAAATGAGTTTTGAAGAAAAGCTCGAGCCAGCACAGAGCAAGTGACTAGGTCGTTCCTCGTTGCGAGCGAGCTCGAGCTACTTTGCAACCACGCCCTCTTCAACCAAGTGTTTTTCCTCAGAAATAATAGGTAGAGGTCTTGAACTGGCATATGTGCTAGATAAGGGCGGAGATGATGTAGTGGCAAGTGGCGCACGACACGGTCAGGGGTTCGAATCACGGACCGATGCCCGCCTAAGCCAACCAGGCCTTGCATCCCTTCAGGGTCGGTGAATCGGTACCAGACTCGTCTGGGAGGATAAAAGCACTGACTTGCACATCAGCTGGCCACC